CAGGTAAAAAGTAGCACATCAGCCTCGTGTGTGTGTGGTTTTTTTTAAAGGTTTTATTTATTTATTTGTCAGAGAGAGAGAAAGCACAAGCAGGGGGAGCAGCAGAGGGAAAGGCAGGCTCCCCGCTGAGCAAGAGACCCAATGTGGGACTTGATCCCAGGACCCTGAGATCATGACCTGAGCCAAAGGCAGACGCTTAACCAAATGAACCACCTCAGCTTGTTTTATTTAGTGTTATTCAGTCTAGGCCTATACCTAAAATCAGAGAAACACAGTTTTCAATGCCTATGTCTTTTCCTAGAGTCCTTTCCACCTTCCCTGAGCTCTAAGCATTTCACACTTGTCCCTAGACACCCAGGACCATCCATACAGGCTTTCCCATGGCTCTCTCTCTACCTCCCTCACTCTGTCCTAGCATCTAATGCCCAGGAAAGCAACTTATTAGGACACCCATGCAAAGTACCTCAGGAGACTTTTATTTTCCACTTTCCTTGATAGTCCAAAACCTTAATCTTAAAGGATTACATTTGTGAATATAAATGAATGGCATGTAGTATCATCCAAAAAAGAGCCGCCAACTTCAATTTTAGGCTGTGTTATTAAAAATACAAGGTCTAGAAAAGTGAAGGTTTTCAGTCCCACTCTATGCTGTGCTAATAATTCATTCAACAAACGTTAACTGAACAGCTCCTAAGGACCAGGCACTACGCAACACACTAAGGACACATGATCATCCTTGCTCCTTTCCAGTCTGCATATAGTCTCCTCATTTAATCCTCACAACAGACCACTCCTGGAACAGTGTGCTCAGTTTGTAAAAATAATCTTCCAGACAATTTTCTGAAAGAGAAAAAAAATGTTTTAAAAGAAGGGGTTACTAAAACTGTTACTTGGTCACCTAAGATACTTACAGACTTTTCTTCCTATATTTACTATACAGTTTTAAAACACAGGGTCCATAGTGAGGTAGGACACACAGAGAAAGAATAAAAAGATTCCAGGGAAGTGAAACGGTTAGGAAGCAATAATTTGAGAAAAGCTCAATATTTGTTGATTGGAGAACTGCAGTTTGTTTCCTTTTTAATATTACTAAAAGTCATGACCTGGATCAATCTTTAATTGCTAATGTCAGAGAGTTATGATGTGGGCTCTTAGGATTCAACCCTTCCTAAAATCAACTTCAGAGCTTACAAGTATTTGCTATGATGAACAAGTAAAGCTATGCCTGAAGATTAGGAAGAACTGGACACTGGAGGTAGAGAGACTAGTTAGGAAGCCAACAAAGTCTAAGCAAGATGTTTATGCTTGAGTTGTGCCAGCAGGAATGGAAGGAAAGGTGTTTATGAAACATTACTGAAGAAGAAAAGACCAACTCTGATAACTATATGTGGATGGAAAATGAAGCAAATACATAGGTTCCAAACTTTGGAGAAAGAGAAGTTAGTGGTGCCATTAAGAGACACAGGGGCCATGGAAGAAGGTGCAGATTTAGGACAACAGATGGATTTAGTTTGATATATATGACTCTGAAGGGTCAGCAAGACACTCAGGAGATATTCAGCAGACAGTTAAAATTAGATTCTGAGAACTTAAGGATACAGTGATAGATCACACATGTGATCCAGTACCAAAGCCTGGATGCCCTCTACTTTCTGAACCAGTCAGACCAAACCATCTGTAGTTCCCTGACAGAGGCAGCTCTTTCCCATCTACCTCCAAACAAACCTCCCTATAAAGCCGGACACCTTACTTCATATCTGGTTAACTCCTTGTCATCTTTCAGAATGCTCAGGGATCATTTTCCCAAACCTTACTCATTTCCCACCAGGAGGATGGTACCTGTGTCTTAACTCTACATATTAGCACCTAATTTTTAGCACCATGCCTAAAATAGCAGCCATTTAAAGACGGTCTGAAAAAAAAGGCTTGGCATGTGTTCAATAAGCTTTCGAAGGAACAGGATCCTCTTAGAGGTGACCCCTGAAGAAATGAACTAGGATGAGATTTCCAAAGGAAAGAAAAGAAAATGGGTTGTCCTAAATATAGGTATTCATCATGGAACATATTCATCTAGGGGTCAGTTCCCAAAAATGCTTCTCAACTTCTTTCAGCCCCAAATGCCTCATCTGTAACACAAGGATTGTTACCTACCTCACAGGTTGCTGGTAACATTAAAGGAGATAGCGTATATAAGGCACCTAGTAATGATGTCTGGCACTCAATGTTCCCTTCTTTTCCCCAACCCAATGTGAAAACATGTTAGAGCCTGCTTATTTCTTCACAACTTTAGTAACTGCTACAACCTGTAAAGCAATCCAACATAGAAAAATAATGGATATTTGAAAAAGAGAGGCTAGACCGTCAGATGCTCTTAGAAACTATCTCAACACTATTGTTAATTTTGGCTAGATAAGTCTTAGTTGTTGTAGGGAGCTTCATGTGCATTGTAGAAGGTTTAAGCAGCATCCTTGAACTCTACTTACTAGGTGCCATTAGCACTCCCTACCAAAAATGTCCCCTGGGAGGTAAAATTTCACCTGGTTGAGAACTACTACCCTAGAGCTAACTGAAATTCTCAAAGTCCTAAGTACCTTCTCTGACATCTACACACATGTCTCATACATTTATTTTTTTCCCCACCAATTGATTCTATACATTAAATTTTGCTTAGGCTTTATAAGCCGTTCCCCTTTAAAATCAACCAAAACTGGTAGCTAGCCCTTTAAATGTCAAGCCAGTCATCATAGATAAGCATGCAGTCAACTACTCAGTGCTTTATCACACTGCAACCCTTAAAGCCAAATATAATAAAAGTAGGAATCCCAAAAGGTCTTCACACAAAATTAAGAGATTTGTTCAAGTACTCAAGTGTCTAATCTTTTAACTTCATGCCTACTGATGGCACTAAGTAGATATTATACAACATGAGCTTTAGTTGCCTAAGGACTTTTCCAATTTTTGTTTTTAAGTAAGCTCTTTGCCCAACATGGAGTTTGAACCCATGATCCTGAGATCAAGAGTCACATGCTCTACCAACTGAGCCAGCCAGGCGCCCCAGGACTTTCACAAGTTTTAAACAAACACTAATGACACATACAATACATTCTGTATATTTAAGAATTAAGTATGATATGCCTATATATTGCAACGACAGAAAAAGTTATGTACATTACAACAACAAAAAATAAGCAAACGTAGAGAAACAAAAACAAGGGGTTTTGGGTAATTGTTTGAGGTTAGTTAAGTATAGCATGGTAATTAAGAGCAGAGACCTGGAATCAGACTACCTGGATTAAAATCCCAACCCCACCACTTACTAGATGGGTGACCTTGATCAATTTACTGAACATCTCTATGCCTGTTTCCTCCTTGGTAAAATGAAGATAATTATAGTATCTACCTTCTAGGGTTGTTGTGGGATTGAATGAGTTAAAATAGGTAAATTGCTGAAACAGTGCCTGATACATACATACTTAAGTATTAAACATGATTATTTATCATTGTTTTTAAGGATACATAAGCAAAGTGTTTTGTGGGTGGTTATATAAAAGTAGAAACAGTAGAGTCAAACAACTGACTTGCACCCAGACACTCTGGATTCATATTTCCTTAACGAATTGTTTCATTTGGGCTTCAATTTCCTCATCTGTAAAATAGGAAAGTGCTCTGAAAATGAATTAGCATAAGGGAAAATCTAAGGGCCATATGTTTAGTGGGATAGTGGGGAAAAGTTGCATCTGTCTTCTAATTTGGTAGAGGAAACTTTGTGAAGGACATACCTTTAAAGAAATAACTCTAGTAATGGGCAAAGTAGGGAAAGCACATGCCCTGAACCCAGGAAGGTCTGATTCAAAAAGCCTTTGATTTACTCTACGGTTTGAAAGCTTAAAGTAAAAATAAAACATCGTTGAGTTGTTATAAGAAAAAGAAAGTTTATTATTTTTAATAAGGTAAGCACACTAATTGAGGGTAGCAGGAATACACTGAAGGCACTGGCACTGGCAGGGATTTGATCACCATCCACTCAAAACAGCATGAAAACACTACCAGGCCCCTAACTGACCTTTCCTTTTCATTGACGAATGCTTCATTCTTTCGGGGGTGAAGAAGGATGACGTTGGAAAAAATGAGACTTGTCTTGTATCATCAAGGAAAGTTCCAATAGTTTTAAATCAATTTATGTCTATTTTTAGACAGAAAAATCAATGCCTTCCAACAAACATTTCAAAATTATTGAGGACTGTGCATGTTGTACTTTATACTTACTAAGAGGGAATATTTTAACAATTTTTTTAAAAAGTTGCAACATCAATCACACGTGAGGCAGGTCGGTGTTAGGGGCGCAACTGTTTCAACTGCTGCCAAAAATGCAAAGAAAAAAAGAAAAATCAACACTTCCTATCTGTTCTGCGAAATTCCGCCCCCGCAAAGCCTCGGAGGCGGGGTATCTGGGTCCCTGCACAGGGTCTTCAAAGGTGTCAACTTTCAGAGTACGTACAAAAAGGAAGGTCAAGGCGACCTTCCGCGACACTTTACGAAAAATCCCCAAGAATTTTTGTCTTTGCCCCAGGGTACAGCAGTCGCTGGACCTCCTCCTCGTTACCCCCCCGCCCCCCACCCCAGGGAATAGGAGGTGGCCTCATTAGACTCTGCTCTGGTCAGGTCTGGTCCTCCTGGGTCACACCGGCCCGGCCAGGGGAAGGCTCCCACGTGGCGCCCTCAGCCGGCCCACAGCCGAGTAGGTGGTCCCCACACCGACGTTCCGATTGGCCAAGAGCAGCCGGAACCGCTCCGGAGTAGGCAGCTACTCTGCCAAACTGGGGTGGCCGCCGGGCGAAAGGTCACAGCCGTGGGGGCAGCCCTCCGAGCAGCCGGTCCTTGTGCGTTGGCCCCATGCCGGCAGCGAGAACACCGTTCGCTGCCGGAGCCGCGCAACCCCACGTGGGCCCTGGTTAGCGACAGACGCCGTCACCCCCCACCCTACGTCGAGTAGCGCTCACCTCAGCGCTTGGGGCGCCTCCACCTTCAGCTTTTTGTGCTTCGGCTCCTCCTCGGCCGCAGACATCTTCGTGCTCCCACCTCACTTAGGCTCCGGCGTGCGCCCCACCCCCTCTGCTCCTTGACCCCCATCTCCTCCCCTCATCACCGCCTCCTTCTCCCAGAACCCCGCCTCTCCTGACTCTTTCCACTTGGTGTGTTTCACTTCAACAGCCATTGGCCCAGCCCCTTTCTGGCCCCGCCTACCCGGGAGGGGGACCCCAGACTGAGTTAGGCCGCGTACGAGCGCCTGAGTCCATATAGTGGGAAACCCGCTTTCTTCTAGGTTCTGGGTGATCTAGGAGATTTAGATCCTAAACCTCAAGAGACATCTTTCTTCTCGTTCAACGTCTTTCCGCTTATTTAATCTTTCCGATACGGTAGCCCGGTTGGTTTCTTTGAAGCTGTTAGTCAGGCAATCTATTGGGCAACCCAACTGCGGGGTCCTCGCGGCCTTCTCAGCTGCCTCAGCCTGGGTCCGGAGTGGACCTGGCGCCGAATCACTGGCTGGCCCAGGTGTCGGGGTGAGTGTGGGGGGCGGGGAGCCTGCGGATAGGGAACAGGTCGAAAACTGGGGAGCCGACTGAGTAGTTGGGGCTCCGGACTCCAGCTTGGGCTGCGGGAGAGTCTCTGATGCTGACCGCGCCTCTCTCTCGGCCTTCTGGGCTTTCTTGCCGGCAGGGCCGGAAGGGAGAGGTGCACCTGCAGCCTGGCCTTCTCGGGTCCCAGGCCCAAGAGGTTCAGACTCGTTGGCGTCCCTCCCCGTACTTCGGCGCGGGAAAAAGATCACCCACGGTGAGCTGGAGTACCAACAATTTGGACCTGAGCCCCAGGCTTCTGCTTTGAAAGACAAAACTCCTGACTAACCTGAACAGACGTCCTGTTAGAGGGTGGCGCCTCGATGAGCTTGGGGTAGGGAATACCGTGAGGAGGGTGTTGCAGTTCTTAACGAGAGGTCACAGGAATCTAAACTGAGATGGAAAAGTGACGAGCGCTGTGGCTGGTTGGATTTGTTGGATTTGGATTGTGCCCGAAGTTGAAGCTTATAGCCTATATGATTAAGAAGGTGGTGCCGTTAAAATTAGGAGACCTTACATGAAGAGGAGGAATTTTGTGGAACTTGGGATATTTCGAGTTTGAAACAGTGGCTTAGGTGTGGATGGTAGAAAGAGTAAAAGAGGGTGGGGGGAAGAAGGCTGGGAAGTAAGCCGAAAAGAAACTTTCAAGGTGAGAACCAAATCAGGTGAAGTTTCACGTAATAAGGTAATAAGTATTTGTTTTGGTTTGGGGAAAGTTATCAATGACATGAAATGCTGCAAGGGTCAAAGGAGGAAGTCGAAGTCTGAGGCTAGGTAGCTGGATTTGATAGTTAGGAAGTCATTAGGCCATTTGAGAGAGGTGCTTTAATACAGTCAGTAACTAGTAAGAGAAACTGCAAGTGTAAACTAATCCATCATTTGGAGCAGAAAGATTATTGAGGATGTCAAGTCGAGGATTGGGGTTTTTTTTAAAGAATACAAGGCACATTATGTTTTGGGGCAGAAAGCAAGTAACCAATGTTAAGATTAAAGATTCAAGAAAGAGGAGATAAGACCCAAGAGGAGAGAGAATGGAGGGGGATCAAAATTACAAATGGAAGGATTAGTTTTGGAGATAAAGGAGGACACTTCCAATTGAGACTATAGGAAAAGCTGGGGAATGAGGTGAATAAGGAATTACCTGAAATTTACATATCTTTGGTAGGAAAGCTCTCTTTGCAGTAAGGTTAGTTTTTCTTACTAAATCTTAGGATTTTTACAATATTTCTAAACATTCACCATAATGTACTATTGGAGTTCCCTGCAGAATAGATATTTTTAAGTAGCCCAATAATATCTCAATGCATGAGTAGCAAATGGCTTTTATAGAGAAGAGGAACTCTCTCTCCCTCTACACATGATCTCTCCTACTACACAGAGAAAATAGGAAGCGCTCATCTTCCTACAACCAAATGTACAAACCTTCTTCCCTTTTGTTTAAAGAGGAAAAGTGTCCAGGGGCGCCTAGGTGGCTCAGTCAGTTAAGTGGCTGCCTTCAGCTCAGGTCATGATACTCAGGGTCCTCAGCAGGGAGCCTGCTTCTCCCTCTCCCCGACTTGTGCTCTCTAGTGCGTGCACGTGCTCTCTTTCTCTCTCAAATAAAAATCTAAAGAAAAAGAGGAAAAGTGTCCCTTATTAAGGAAGGCAGTTCCTTTCATCTAGTTTCCCAATACTATCCTCGCCTACCCTATGAGGATCCTCTTTTTTTCAATTATTTCCTCTCTCTTATATTATCTGCCTTTCCCCTTCTACTCACACCTTTCCTTCAGCAGTTAGAAATAATCTTCCTTAACTGTGTGAAATACTCCCATTTATTTTCATGTCTTTTCATCCTCCTCACAGCTAGAGTTCTTGAATGTATCTACTCTCCTTATCTCTAATTTTCCCATTTCTTGTTATTTATTTCTTAGCCCATTTCAGCCTGTCTTGTTTCCTGCATTCCACTGAACTATCACTAAAACTACCCTTAACGAAACTCCCCAATGTCCTCTGTGTGTTAAATCATAAATTCTCAATAGGGACAAAAATTGCTTGTGAGGCAAAAAAAAAAAAAATACTCTTTATATATAAAACAGTATATTTACAGTATATAAGGAGATATACAGATATATATTATGTAATATTAAAATTTTATGGGGGAGGGTGTGATTGAAGGGAGTCTGAAAAAGCCCCTTAGCAGGCAATTAAAAAAGACATTTTCAGTTCCTTTTTTTCTCTTTTTTTGTTCAGTTCTTGTAGCTTGACCTCTTTGTGCCATTTAAAATGTTTAGTATTCCATTCTTCTGGAAACACGTTAACACACGCTAGTTACTAAAAATCGTTACCCCCCCCTTTTTTTACTGCTCTTCAGCCACATCTTCTCAGCCTTTTTTTTAGGCCCACTTCCTTGGCCCGCTTGCTATTCAGATGTTGGAGTTCTTTCCATAGGCTTTCTTCTTACTATGCACATTCTCTTTGTAGTGTTTTTCTCCTTGTAGCTGTAATTCCCATTAACAAAAAGTCATGTTTACTCATAAGCGTGTCTCCAACTCAGCTTCTCTCTGAAGCACTAGACCTACATATATAATAGTCTTTTGAATATATCCATTTGGGTCAAATATATCCAGATTTGGGTCAATATACAGGACCAGGGCTAAGTGCCTAATTTTTCCTCTCATCTCCAACCCCCAAATCCACCTAATCTGCTCAAGCCTAAACATTTATCTTTTTATTTTACTCCATCCCTGCTGTCAACACTGTAGTCCAGGGCATCTTCATGATTCATCTCTGAACTGGTGTCCTATTCAATTTCCACAGTGCAATCTCTCCTAAAACTGTAAATCGGATTTTATTAATTCCCTGCTTAAAATCATAAAAAATTGCACTGAGAATTAAGTGAACCAATCTCTGCTTATCTCCTTCCCAGTCTCATCTCGCCACTTCCCTTCACCTCCTAAAATTGCTAAATTTGTACTGGATTTCTTTACTTGTGTTCTCTGTCATCTCAAAGATTTGTGGAATTTTGAAGGACACTGTATTTCCCCTGTCATAATAGGAATTGCATCTTACTATAATAAGTTGTTTGCCTTCTTTGCTGAACTCTAAACACCCTGAGTTCAGGGACTCTGTCCACCTTTCTATCCCCATTGCTTACTATATATAAAACATTCAGAACTACTTGTTGAATGAATAAATGGTTAAAATACTGTCTGAGAATTAGAGAAGCTAGAGTCTTCCCTGGTCTCATTCTCTTACCTTGCATATAGGCTCTTCTATGCCTCTGTTCTGTTTTATGTAGAAGGAATACATTTTCTTTTTTAGACATTATTCCAAGGGTATTTTGACTACTGATCTTCCTCGACTTCTGTTGAGGTTATGTCCTGAAAATATTGTAAGTCAAAGATGCATTTAATATACCTAAACCTACTGAGCCTCATAGCTTAGCCTAGCCTACCTTAAATATGCTCAGAACACTTAACATTAGCCCACAGTTCGGCAAAATTATCTAACACAAAGTTTATATTACCGTTAAGTGTTGAATATCTTGTGTAATTTATTGACTACTGAAGTGAAGAACAGAATGGTTGTAAGTGTATTGGTTGTTTACTCTGGTGATCAGGTGGCTGGGAGTTTTGTCTTGCTGCCTCTACCCAGCATCTCAGGAGATTATTATATCACTCTCCCAGAAAAAGATCAAAATTCAAAATTCAACGTACGGATTCTAATGGATGCATATCACTTTTGCACGATTGTAAAGTAGAAAAATCTTACATCAAACCATCGTAAGTCAGGGACCATCTGTATTATAATTGCATTGTTTGTGAATCATCAGGTTGACTGTTCAGCATGGGTAAAGAGGATTTATGAAATATTTAAGCTGCAAAGTTCTGATGGAACTTTCTCAAGTGGCTATAATATAAGCTGATAGCCTTCTGTTTTCTGAGTCAAAAGTCACTAAGAACAAAAAGATGGTTATGGGGCGCCTGGGTGGTTCAGTTGGTTAAGTGACTGCCTTCGGCTCAGGTCATGATCCTGGAGTCCCGGGATCGAGTCCCACATCAGGCTCCCTGCTCAGCAGGGAGTCTGCTTCTACCTCTGACCCTCTTCCCTCTCGTGCTCTCTATCTCTCATTCTCTCTCTCTCAAATAAATAAATAAAAATCTTAAAAAAAAAAAAAAAAAAGATGGTTGTGGTTGCACTGAGTGTGTAGCTTTCCCAGAAAGTTTATTAGAATGATGAAAGGAGTAACAGCAGCTACTAAAAGGATAAGTAACTAAAGAAAGAGACTAATTTACACTGCCACATGTGGCATTTATTTAATTCTTATGTGCATTAGGCTATTGATCATAAAGGAATAGAAGAAATAAGCTCTCTTTTCTTACAATAGAAGGGTAAGGTGGGTTTTAAAGCTAAGCACTGTTGAGAGCTACAAGTGTTAGGCTTTCATCTCAGCGCTAAGGATAATAAACCCAGATGGCCGGTTTAACTTACTGTATTCTTCTGAGATTAGAACTATTGCCAACAAAAACAACTTTGGTGCAAACTTCCTGGAAAGAATTTTTCACCAGTTTAAGAGGATGAATAGGAACTTGGCCTCTAAAATAAAGGAACTATGAAATCACTTGCTTCAAGAACAAGCCGCTCTTTTAGGGTATATTGTGGCAACAAAGTACCACAGATCCATGTGAACTATACCTTCTATAGGATGAATGGTCTAAGAAGATAACTTATGTCATCTCTTTTAAATATAATTTCTGCTCTAAATAATTTATTAGAACACATTTTGGCTTCTAACTAAAGAAACACATCCTTCAGCTCTTCTTAAATTATAAGCTCAAAGAGCACATTTGCTGCTCGGTCCAGTATGGTAACCACCAACTACATGTAGTGATATACATTTAAATTAGTTAAAATTAAAACTTCAGTACATCCATTGCATTAGCCACGTTTCAAGTGTTCAATGGCTACATATGACTAGTGGAGACTATATGGGACAGCCCAGGTACAAGACATACCCATCATTGCAGGAAATCCCGTTGGACAGTGCAGCATTAGAGTATGTTCCTACTAATTAGTCTCCTGGAGTCGGGTAAGAACAGGAGCCCGAGATTCATCCAGACGTGGGTTTGAACCCTAACTCTGACACTTATTGTGTGATCTGATTTAACATTTCTAAGACTTTATTGTCTTAGCTGTAAAACGGGGATAAGCGCAATATTTGTAACATTGAGTCATGAAGATTCAATGAGATAAGGTAGGGAAGTGCCTAGCATAGTACCTGGCCTACAATAAGTACTCAATACCTTTTAGATATTATTTATTCTTAATGAATAAAAAACTTTGAATAGAGCTGAAAATTTAATTTTGTAAAAAGTACCATATTCCATACCTAACTCACTTAAAGTGCTCAAATCTGAGTCTCTGAGTGGATTACAATGTTCTCCTTTCAGCTACACTTTACATTTCAGATGAAGATTTTGTTCTAAGAAAATGTGTCCTAATACAAATTTAGTTGCAGATCTTATCATTGGATATTCCTATCTCATTTTTTTTAAGTGTATCAGCAGACGTTATAGTTAAAGCCAGTAGGTTCTGTATAGCAAGTCTGTATTCCAGTGACACTACTTAGCACTCAAATAGAAATATAATGCTGACACAAAGCAAACCTGTTAAACAAAGCATCTGACTAGATGAAGTAGAAAAATTTAACAGGTTTCAGTATTAATCTAGAAAAATTGAGTAGGTCCAAAGCCTCAGGGTTTATTGCTGCCAACTCACATTGATTGCTTGGCTAAATAGGAATGCCTTTGAACAAAGAAACATTGTTTCTAATAAACAGGAACCCGAAAATGTTAACAGCATTCATATTTATTAATACAGCAATTACTAAAACACATCTTAGTAATTAGTAATTACGTAAAAACTTCTGAGCATGTGCCAAATGGGAGGGGGAAATCATCACCAGAGAGTCCTTAAATGTCAGCTGCTTTCATAAAATAAATGACTTGCTCTCAAAAGAACTGGTCAGGTTGGTGTCATTGTTTTCTGTCTCAACAGAATTGAATGAATCCATTCTGGAAAGTCTTCCTTTCCTCTTTGGAATTTATCTTCATGCAGAGAAACTATGTATTCATTTTAAATTTTTTACAGTTAGACTACACTTGCACAATAGTATAATTTTGAATTAGTTGACCACTAGGCTAAACACCTGGTAAGTATCTACATAAAAGAAAGGAACACGTTAAGGTAATTAGATATTTTTCTACTGTCCCCCATTTGTAAAGATAATAAAGTTTTTATTTGAAATATAGTTAACACTCAGAAAATTATATGTCACAATGTAAAACCCAATGAATTGTCACAAAATGAATGTAACTTGTAACTATCATCTAGATCAAGAAATAAAATATTATAAGCACCTTAGGAAACATCCCCCATGCCCCTCTTAGTCACTACCCCCACTGTCCATAAGAGATTTCTCAAACCATAGATTAGTTTTGTCTGTTCTAGAAAGTCATATAAATAGGATTATACTGTATGTATCCTTTTGCATCTGGTTTTATTTGTTCAGTATTGTGTTTGTAAGGTTCATCCATATTTGCTTCATGTAGCAATAGTTTGTTTTCATTGCTGTATAATATTTCATTTTAATAGTACGCTATAGTTTATTTTTCCATTGTACTATTAATAAATATTTTGAGTTCAAGGTTTTCACTATAACAGTATATTTTTATACATATTTTTGGTGCAAATTTGTACACATTTATGTTTAATCCACCTGGGAGTAGATTTGTGTGTCACAGTTACTAAGAATATTTTTTAAGTGAAATATAATTCACATATTATGAAACTCATCATTTTAAACATACCATTTAGTAATTTTTAGTATATTCACAAAGTTGCATAACCATTATCTCTAATTCCAGATTTTTATCACCTTAAAAAGAAATGGCAAACCCATAACCACTAACTCTCCATTCTTTCCCTTCCACCCAGCCCCTGGCAACCACTAACCTAATTTCTGTCTCTGTAGATTTGCTTATTCTGGACATTTTAGAAAAAATCATACAATATGTGACCCTTTGTGTCTGACCGCTTTTACTTAGCATAATGTTTTCATGGTTCATTCCTTTTTATGGCTGAATAATATTCCATTGTTGGAAAATTATTTACCTATTCATCAGTTGATAGACATTTGAGTTGTCTCCACTTTTTGACTATTCTGCATAATGCTGCTAGGAACATTTATATACAAGTTTGTTTTGTTTTGTTTGTTTGTATACAAGTTTTATATGGACATCCATTTCCAGTTCTCTTGGTTATATATCTAGGAGTACAATTGCTGAGTTATTTGGTAACTCTGTCTTTAACTTTTTGAAAAACTCACTGTTTTCCACAGCATCTGTACCATTTTACATTTCTACCAACAATGTGTGAGGAGTCCAGTTTCTCCACATTCTTGTCAATACTTGTTATTGTCTGCATCTTAATTATATCTAGCGTAATGGATATGAAATGTTGCCCCATTGTGATTTTGATCTACATGTGAAAAGATGTCGAGCACCTTTCCATGTGCTCAGTAAGCATTGATCATTTATATGTATATCTTCTTTGGAGTAATGTCTTCAAATTCCTTGCCCATTTTTTTATTGTTTTTTTCTTCAGCGGTAAGCGTTCTTTTTATATTCTGGATAGTAGTCCCTTATAAGATATATGGTTTGCAATTATTCTCTCATTCTGTGGGTTGTCTTTTTATTTTCTTGATAATGTCCTTCAAAATACAAAAGTTTTAAATTCTGATACAAGTCCAGGTTATCTGTTTCTTTTTTTGTTGCTTGTGCTTTTGGTGTCATCTAAAAAAAATTATCTAATCCAGGGTCATGAGGGCTTATTGAATACTTTTTCTAAGAGTTTTTAATAGTTTCAGCCCTTATATTTAGGTCTTGATACATTTTGAGTCAATTTTTGTATATGGTATAAGGTAGAGATCCAAATTCATTCTTTTGCGTGTAGGAATCCAGTTGTCCCAGCACCATTTGTTGAAAAGACTGTTCTCTCTCCCACTGAATGGTCTTGGCAATTTTATAAAAAATCAGTTGACCACATATGTAAAGGTTAATTTGAGAATTCTCCATTCTATTCCATTGATCTGTCTGACTGTCAGTCAGTACCACATAGTACATTTGTAGTAGGTTTTAAAATCTAGAAGTATGAGTCCTCCAAATTTTTTTTTTTTCAAGAGTGTTTTGGCTGTCCTTCGCTTTCATTTCCATATGAATTTTAGGACCATCCTCTTAGTTTCCACAGAAAAAGGCAGCTGGCATTATAGAAGGGATTGCATTGAATCTTAAGCCAATTTGGGCGGTATTGCTATCTTAACAATATTAAGTTTTCTCATCCATGAATGTGAAATGTCTTCCCATTTTTAGATATTTTTAATTTCTAATTTCTTCCAATGATGTTCCGTACTACTCAATGTATACTAATAATGTTCTGTACAGTTTTGTACTAATGATGTTCTATACTATTCAACATACTTGCACTTTTGTTAAATTTAGTCCTAAATATTTTGATCTTCTTGATGCTCTTGTAAATGGAATTTCATTTTCAGGTTATTCATTGCTATGTGTAGAAATACAGTTGGTTTTTTAAAAATATTAATCTTGTGTCCTGCAACCTTGTTGAACCCATTTATTAGCTATGATTTTGTGCATGCGAGTATGTGTGGGTGTGTGTGTGTGTTCTTAGGACTTTACATATACAAGACTGTAATCATCTGCAAATTGAGGTAATTTTATTTCTTCCTTTCCAATTTGGAAGCCTTTTTTTCATTTTCTTGCCTAATTGACCTGGCTAGATTCTCCAGTACCATATTGAATAAAAATGGTGAGAGTGAACACCATTGTTTATTCTTGATATTAAGGGGAAAGCTTTTAATCTGTAGTCATTAAATATGATGTTAGTTATGGGATTTTCACAGATGCTCTGCTCTCTTGGGGTTAGGAAGTTTCTTTTTCTAGTTTTAAGTGTTTTTATTGTAAACGGGTGCTAGATTTTATCAAATGATTTTCCTGCATGTTTTGAAATCATTATATGTTTTTTTGTCTTTTATGTAGATTGTATGTTACATTGATTGATTTTCATATATTGAACCAATCTTCCATTCTTGGAATAAACCCCATTGGTCTAGGTGTATAATCTTTATATGTTGCTGGATTCAGTTTGTTAGTATTCTGTCAAGAAGTTTTACAGTTATTCTTAAGTGATATTGGTCTGTAGTTTCTTCTGTTGCCTTTGAATGGTTTTGGTGTCAGAATAATACAAGGATACTTTTTGATGTACACTAAATTTAAACTTTTTTCCCCCCAGAAAATGATCCACAGTCTATTTCTCATAAACTGTTCCGGTGACATATTTCTAGAGAAGCACTGGAAGAGCGTTGTAAGCCAGTCTGTCTGTGATTATTTCTTTGAAGCTCAAGAGAAAGCTGCTGATGTTGAAAATGTACCACCTGTCATCTCAACGCCTCATCACTACCTCATCAGTATCCACCGGGACAGGCTCTTCTTTGTGTCTGTCATACAGACCGAAGTGCCCCCTCTCTTTGTAATTGAGTTCCTACATCGGGTTGCTGACACTTTTCAGGTTGGTTATTCATCAAATCTTTTGAACTTAAATTAATCAAGTTAGTTGGGGGTGGGACACATAATTATATTCTTTAATTATCCAACTTTGGATGTGTCTTCCATCTGTCTCTTCAACTCAGCATAAATTCATAAACCCCTTTTTTTGTAGGGTGCACAGCAGTACACATGCTGCTCCATTCGCTGTTTCAGTAGAACATAGTAATCGCACGGTCATGGAAGCCATATTTATATGTATTACAGATTATGTCAGCAGGAAACAGAAATGCCCTCTACATACAGTTCTCTGAATGGTTCCAAAAGTTTTATTGGTTATGTAATCTTCTAATTTTACCTTTTATTATCTTGCTAAGTATACCAAATAACTGAAAACTTAATCTGTGTTTTGGGGGGTATCTAATCAGGGAAAATTAAGTTTATAGTTCACATCCTAGTTTAATGTTTCAGTGTACTCTCTGTCTAAATATGTAATAGGAATTCAGTTCAATCTAAAAATATTGAGAAAATATTGAGGAACAGAACTGTAGAGGGTTTTTTCCCCTCTGACTTAGATCTTAAACAATGAATTATGCTACTCTAAGTTTATCCTTCTGAACAGAGTGTTTAGAAAGCCTTTCTTCATGCCTTTCATTGTGCAATATTATGTACATTTTGTTAAGGACTACTTTGGTGAGTGTTCGGAAGCTGCAATTAAGGATAATGTGGTCATTGTATATGAGCTCTTGGAAGAAATGTTAGACAATGGATTTCCACTGGCTACTGAATCTAATATTTTGAAAGAACTGATTAAACCACCAACAATTCTCCGTTCTGTTGTCAACTCTATTACAGGTAAGGTGAAAACATACTGCATTAGGAACTGAGCAATTAAAGCTTTATAAACAACTCCTTGTTGCTTATGATCTGGCAGATTATTAAGGTAGTCTAGTTTGGCCAGAGTTAAAGTTAGCAATACTGTTAAAATGTATGTGTATTTCTTTTCATGGGGAAACTCGGTCTTAAATGATAAAGAAAACTTGATAATTCTCTTTTATTATAGGTTTTTCTATAGGCCCACAAAAACATTATTACTATTACTTAACACTAAATAATAAGACTGAATAAATTTTCCCAGTTAGTCCTAAAGAAGCCAATATAGTGAGGTTATAAAAGGGAAACCTATATGTGAGGCTACTTAGAAGAACATTTAGTCTATTTATAGACTGGCATTTTAATATTTAAATTAGCATTATTTTATGGGATGTGATGAAGATGTTAACTAACACTACACTGGGTATTCATTGTAGTATATAAGTGTATCAAATCAACATGTTGTATACCTTAAACTTAACACAATGTTATATGTCAGTGATACCTCAATAAATGCTGGGAGAAAAATAAAAATTAATAAATAGCATTATAAAACTGGCATTATGTTGTTACCCCCAAATTAATAGGAAATAGAAAATTTAAGACTCTCTACCACAGAGTACATATTGTCTCCTCCAAGTCTTTCTTTTATACATGCAGAAGACTTACTAAAACAAAGAGAGATAGGAAATTAGTCTATTTGTGAGATCTCACGCATTGTGGGCCTTGTACTTGTGTTATAAATTTCTAATTTTTGTTTATTTCTTGAGTATAGCTAGAAATTAAGTACATCCAGATGATAGTATTTTTTGAGAGTATTGAAGTCTTCTAGAGAAAGATTTCTGTGAAGTGTTACATGCCACACCAGCTCCGCTGTCTGCCATTTTAAACCCCTCTCCAAGTGTATTGACCTAAAAAATGGGGCAAGAAAGGCCTCTGAAAAAGCTTTATTCATCTTCTGTATAAGGCGGAGCATTAGGAGAAATTCAAGGAAAGATAAGATGGAGTAAATGTGCCTAAAACTTATGCTCTGTTTGGGAGATTGGGAAAAAAAATTAAAGTACATAAATAATATAAGATTGTAAAAGGCAATTCCATACTTTATAAACAATACAATGACACTGGAAAGTATACACGATATACTTTACAAAACTATAAAAATTTCTCTTAATTACACATAAACATTCGTACAGACAAAAAAGTTCTAAAATGTTTTCAATGACCATCTCCAACTAAGGAACTACATACTATCTTTATTTTTGCTTTATACTAATTTCTAAAATAAACATGTATTTTATAGTTACTAAAATATAGAATGAAAATATATAGGTTATTAAGGCAGTGCATTATGAAATTAAAGAAAATGTTTCAGTAGATGAACTGTGGTGCTTGGCCCCAGTGCAGGGCCCTAGAGAATCAGCAGAATTTAGGGAGAGAGGGAGGAATAAGAGCATTCTATAGATGGAACTATATGAGAAAAAACATGAAGTGAAAAACCTTGAATTGTATGAATTCATTCAGCAGGAACAGAGCTGTTTTTTTTAGCTGAGTAATAAGATATAAAACTTGAGTTAAGTTGAGGAAATTCTTGAATGGTAGGCTAAATATTTAATTTTTATCATAAAGCCCGTGTGGAAACATCGAAAGTTTGAACAAGAAGGTGAAAGCAGTGTTTTTAGAAAATTCTTGAAAGCAAAAGCTTTGGAGAAACAAACACCAATCAAATTAGACTATAAAGTTGTATATATAGTATGATTGCCACTATATTTTAAGGTGCAGTCAGAAAAAAACCAAACTTATCAAAATAGAAAAAAATAAGTGCAACCCATTTATGAGGGAAATGTTTAAAGAAATATACCAAAATGTTAATGGTAGTTGTAGTTTGGTAATAGGAAGATAGATTCTTTTTAGCCACTTTTCTGAACTTTCCATGTGTTGTTATTAAGCATGTACTACTTTTGAGTTGGAAATATAAATTAACCAAAATGTTAAATATGTCACAGCTCAAGGGTATGTTTTGGACAACTAGACTTATTTTCAGACATATGTCAATTTACCAGTAAATTAGCCAGATACTAAACATGAGCCATATTGCAGCCATATGGGTGTGCCGACCTAAAAATGGGAAAAGGCCAGAATGTGTTCTTCATCCAGTTACTCCGCTGAGGCCTGCTTGGCAGCATATCATGTAGAATTTAAGCTGAATACCAAAGGGCCTACTTATCACTCTGTATTCTCAGTGGAGACATTTTATCAGCAGAAGGTTTTAAAACAACTAGCCTCTTTTCTTCATCAGTGGCAGCATAACGAGATTCTGTTGTTGAGCCACTGAAATTAGGTTAGGTAACTGTTAACACACAGGAAGCAAAAGATAAGTAAATGAATTTAACCTGATTTGGCACATAGAGGACCACATGGCCTATTTCTGTCTTCTAGAAATTTGATCATGTTAGTATGGATCTATCTACAACAATTTTGGAGACTATCCACAACTTCAATGAAGAAAAACCCAAACATTAAAGAAGCAGCTACGGCATTCATTTTTTTTTTTCCTGTTAATAGCTTTTCTTTCTTTCTCTTTTTGTTTTTAAAGTAAACTATACACCCAGTGTGGGGCTCAAACATGACCCACAGGTCAAGAGTCGCACACTCTACCGACTGAGCCAGCCAGGCACCCCTGTTAATAGCTTTCCTGATCACCATTTTATGCATTACCTTTGCTTTCTCCTTTTCCGGTTTTCTAGGCAGTAGTAACGTTGGGGACACACTCCCCACTGGGCAGCTGTCCAACATCCCATGGCGCCGGGCAGGGGTAAAGTACACAAACAATGAAGCCTATTTTGATGTCGTTGAAGAAATAGATGCAATTATAGATAAATCAGGTAATTGTGGGCATGTGGTCTTATTTGGGAAAAACAGTTGAGCTGACATAAGCTGAATAGAAAATTGAAATCCCTTGGTAGTATGGTTTCAGCAGAAAGGCATTCATTTCCTAATAGCTTAAAAAACTGTTTATTTTGCCCAGAGCTTACATATAATTTTCATAACCACTAGCTGAGATCTGCCAAACCTTTGTAAATCAGATCTCATGCTGCCTTATTTTAAACCAGTTATTACTCTGTATGCCTCTCCCTCTTGCCGTTTTTTCAACATTTATTGTTTATCTGCCATGCACCATACTTTTGCTACCACTGTATATGCAGTACTTCTAATAAAGACCCCAGATAAAACAGCGGTACTGTATTAGAACCATAAAATTTTATTAAAAACATCTAGTCCAACCCTCACATTATATGCATAAAGAAACTGAGGCTCAGAAGCATTTAGTAATCTGCTTAAGGTCACACAGCTAGTTGGTGTGTGATAATGAGCTATTGTGAATTAATAGCCAATATCTTTTCTTCAGTGAGTGCCCTTTTCATTATAAAATTCCATCATACAGAATAATAGCTGTATTATTACAGAATAATGGCTCCTATTTCTTAAAAGTTAACAGCTTAATCCATTTCATTGAGAAATTTTCCTCATTTCTAAATTCCATTAAAAATATTTTAACTTCACTTTTTTTTTCTAAGAGGGAAAGAGTTGGGGGAGAGGGCAGAGGCAGAGGGAGAGAGAGAATCTTAAGCAGGCTCCAAACCCAGCATGGAACCCAAGACAGGGCTCGATCTCATGACCCTGAGATCATGACCTGAGCCGAAACCAAGAGTCAGACGCTTAACCGACTGAGCCACCCAGGCACCCCCAAAATATTTTAATTTCATATCCAGCTATCTTACAAGGTTGACTCTATCAAGATAGAGGCAGGTTTGGGGCACCTGGGTGGCTCAGTTGTTAAGCGTCTGCGTTCAGCTCAGGTCATGATCCCAGGGTCCTGGGATCGAGCCCTGCATCGGGCTCCCTGCTCTATGGGAAGCCTGCTTCTCCCTCTCCCACTCCCCCTGCTTGTGTTCCCGCTCTCGCTCTGTGTCTCTGTGTCAAATAAATAAATAAAATCTTTAAAAAAAAATAGGGAGGCAGGTTTGATATTCCTTAGAATTACCACAGTCCTACCAGAGTTAGGTGTGGGCCCTGGTACTTAGTGAAGAAGCTGTCATAACCAATGTAATGGATCCCCTGTCCACTAACTTGTTAGTAGATGTGCATGTTTCATTATATCTGACACCCAGGAGGCGTTTCCATAACTTCAGATACAGTGATCATTCTAGTAAAGACTCAGATTCCAGTGATTTTATCACTTTCTTTCTTTCTTCAGGATCTACGGTCTTTGCCGAAATTCAGGGGGTCATTGATGCTTGCATTAAGCTATCTGGAATGCCTGACCTTTCTCTTTCTTTCATGGTGAGTTTTGTTCTCCTGTCCTATAGCTCTTTACATGCCCAATACATATGAAGTACCAAATGAAATGATAAATACTAAGAGATGTTTGTACCTTAGATTTAAGGATTATCTCAGAAATATTGTAAGATTTATTTATTTAGAGAGAGAGAGAGAGAGAGCACACTTGAGCATGAGCAGGGGGAGGGGCAGAGGGAGAGAGAGAGAGTCTCGAGCAGACTCCATGCTGAGCCAGGAGCCCAACATAGAGCTCGATCTCACAACCCTGAGATCATGACCTGAGCCAAAATCAAGAGTCAGCCACTCAACTGACTGAGCCACCCAGGCACCCCCTATCTCAGAAATATTCTTAGCCAGCTTCCCAAGATAGTGACTTACGTGATGAGCATGGCCTTTATGGAAAGCTGAGGAGAGGTCTTCTCCTGGGTGTATTAGAAGTGGCTTAAACAGCTGACTGACTTCTGCAAATCTGTAGTCTCACTTACTGAATTACTTGCTTTGCTGGTATGAAAGGGCATTGATCTTTTGTGTCATTTTAGACTCAGCATGATACACTACTAAGAAAATAGAACAGAGTTCTCATGCTCACTTGTCCTGTCCCACATATAAAATATTTGTGGGGCACCTGGGTGACTCAGTCGGTTAAGCAGCCAGCTCTTGATTTTGACTCAGATCATGATATCAGGGTCCTGGGATTGAGCTCCATGTTGGGCTCCATGCTCGGTGGGGAGTGTGCTTGAGGATTCTCCCTCTCCCTCTCTCACTTTCTCTCTCTCAAATAAATGAATAAATCTTTAAAAATATATATATTTGAAAGCCTTGTGAAACCATTAAGTTTGTGTTATTGTGGTCATAGTAACAAACTCTTAACATGACTATTTTATCCTTAGGGAGTATATTAATTTCTCATAATATCTGAGTAGAGTTGCCATATTCCATGCACTCTATGAATACTGCTGTCTTGTTTTCCTGGCAGAACCCACGGCTTCTAGATGATGTCAGCTTCCACCCCTGCATCCGGTTCAAGCGCTGGGAATCTGAAAGGGTTTTGTCATTTATTCCTCCAGATGGAAATTTCCGACTCATATCATATCGTGTCAGCTCACAAAAGTATGTTGATGCATCAACTAGAAGTCTGCTATCATGTATCATTGTGATGGGTATTCACCTTACCTTTTTCATTCTGACAGTGGGATACTTGAATTCATCACTGCTCCATTTAAAGGTCATGGCTCACCAGGAAACTTGGGAAGAACTGGTGAAAATATGTATCTAAAATAATCAGTATATCTTATATATGAGAATATGAAGTAGTAGCAAAAGAGACTAGTAAACATACCTGAGAACAAATAAGCATTTTGGACTCTGCATAAGCTACGCAAAACCTTGAACCCATGCCATAATTTTACTGTGGTGTACAGACTTCAGAGCTGACGGAAGGACACAAACACATCTCCAGCTCTCTAGGCTATCTCCCAACTAACTGGCCTCAGGTCATTCTTTTGTGTACCAAGGTTTAAATGAATTGGCATTGTGGGTTGTAAATGGTTTGTCCCTTGAAAATATCAGAAGGTATTTGGGTAATATCAGATGGGACTCAAAAGCAGAGGAATTATTTCTTGGCTCTTACCACATAGGGACTATTTTATTTAGGATAATTTTAAATTATCTCTTCTTGGGATCTTAATTCTTCAAATGAGGCCTGTTTGCCCCAGTTGTTTATACTATCTTGATTCCTGTCTTGATGTGTATACTTATTGCTCAGAAATTGTGTAATTCCTCATGTGGTGGTGAGTACCTCTGGTGAGTACCAGTGAATGCTGAGTCTCCAGTTCTGGGGGGGTATATGGCCCTATCGTGGAGTCAGAGGTACAGTAGGATACTCTGGACTGAGGTTTCGATGCTCCCTCAAGAGCTGTCTCACACCATTAATTATGTTTGTGGTTGTGTCTTTCTCTTCTCAGTCTAGTGGCAATACCGGTGTATGTGAAACATAGCATCAGCTTTAAGGAGAACAGTTCTTGCGGTAGATTTGATATTACGATTGGACCAAAGCAGAATATGGGAAAAACTATTGAAGGAATCACAGTAACAGTTCACATGCCAAAAGTTGTGCTGAATATGAACCTGACACCAACACAAGGCAGCTATACATTTGATCCAGTTACCAAGGTACAGCCACCTCTAATCAAGAGTGAGCAAATGTTTCTGCAGGCTTTGATGATGGCAGGGAGGGCAGAGGGAAGGGTTTAATGTCTTGGTTAAAACTAAAGTCCCTCACAAAACCTGGAGAGTACTGTGCTGTGCTCTTGCCACTGGCTGTGGAGGGAGTCCCGCATCTGCTGCTGAGGAGATGAACCGAAAAGTGAGACTCGTTCCGTTCTCCTTCAGAGTGTGCCTTTCCTCATCCACTGGTAATCTAGAGGTGTACTCACTGAGGAAGAAGATGTAAAAAGCTTTTTAAAAAGAGAAAAACATTATCTGGATAAAAAGTTAGTATTGTAGTCTATTAATTGTTAAATTTTATGTAGAAATTGATCATTAAGACCTTTCTTTTTAATTGAAAAGCACTGTTTCATACTCTTCCACGGGGGATGCTGGCTAGGAAAGCTGCTTCTCACCATATATAAATGTGCCTCTAGCAAAGGGTTTTCAGAGAAATTGTAAAAGATGATTTTCTGTCAGCTTTCGGCTTGGGTAAAAAGTATGATTCTTTTCAACAGCAGTCGTTGAGCTGCCTGATAAGTGAAAAGGCATACTTTTAAATAAAATCACTGAATGTCAGAGATCATCTACTCCAGTCCTAAGGATTTGAAGAACCTCCCCAGAGACTACCCAGGGCTGAGAAATGAAGGGAGAGCTCCACATCCCTGGCCCTTCACCTTGGCTTCAACTGTAATAGCTTCACTTTGTTGACTGTTCCTGAGCTTCCACACTAAAGATTTTACTCAAAGAAAGCTAAAAGTTTAAAAAAACACCAATTTAGATCCATTTTCTCATGTTACAGAAAAGTAAACTGAGGCCCGGAGACTTACAGTGAAGGTGGTATAGTAGAAAGAACATTTGAAATCAGATTAGGTTCACATCCCAACCTTGCCTCTACACTAGCTGTGTGACCTTGAACAAGTCATTTTGACCACTGAGCCTCAGTTTCTTTGTTTGTAAAAAGAAGACACAATCTACATCACAGGCCTCTTTGAGATAATGTATGAATAGTGCTAAGCACAGTGCTCTATCCAAAAGTCGGTAGATGCTCTACAAATGTTGGTTCTCTGCCCTCACCATTCCAAGTCACCGACCTGAGTAGTGGTAAAATTCCATGAAGATCCCAGGTCTCTTGTTTCCAAGACACTGTGCTTCATTCTGTACAGAAGTTTATGGTGTCTTTGTGAACATTTGTCTTTAGTAAATGGTTCAGATTGTATGTTTTTTGTCTTTTCAAGGTACTAACATGGGATGTGGGAAAAATTACTCCACAAAAGCTCCCAAGTCTTAAAGGACTGGTCAATTTACAGTCCGGAGCACCCAAGCCAGAAGAGAATCCCAGTCTCAACATACAGTTCAAGATCCAGCAGCTTGCTATTTCAGGTAAGGATAAGTTTTGACTTGTGTTTAAGGGTGAACTGAGTTTTGCTGAGGTCAGCTGTCAGGAGCTTAGAAGGGTAGGAGCCTTCCCTCTTTAGAAAGAACAGCAGCTCCAGTTTGCCTGTCACACTGGGCAACGGGGCTGTCCTCTCAGGTACGGTGATTTTGCAGAGCACCTGATTTCACACAGCTTTCTTCCACCGCACCCTCTTCATCCGAGCACTAAGGAAGGACTCATTCCTACTCACAGAAAGAATTACCCATAAAAGACATTGCTTGCCCACATGGGAATCTAAACTAAAACCACCCCCCACAGTGCTGTAATGTGTGAATAGTAGAAGGGAGATTGCTTGCAAATGGTAGAAGGGACATTTGGCTAATGTCAGATTTACTGGGTAATGTTCATTGCTAAACAAGTAACTGTTGGTTACTGTGGCCAGGAAAATAATTTGTTCCTTTCCTTACCTGTTCTTTTTGACACAGGCTTAAAAGTAAACCGCTTGGACATGTATGGGGAGAAATACAAGCCATTTAAAGGAGTCAAATATGTCACGAAAGCTGGAAAGTTCCAAGTGAGAACATGAGAAGAGGACAAAATTCCTCAAGATGTTTGTTTTCCTAGTGTCATTATAGTTTATTACTGTTAGGTACCAAGTGGGTGGGAGTCCATATTCCAGTCCCAGCATTCCTATTGAGCTACACACAGCTAACAAAGTTGCTTAGTAATCAATGTAGGGTTCTGAAGAGCTATAAGCTAAGGAAACTTTGAATGCCTTAGCTGATTTTGTAGGTGATTGCCTCCATAGGGGGACCTCAGCTGGGGGCTGCACATTGTAACAGTAAAGGCAAAAGGCTACAGTGATAACCTCTCCCCTAAAACAAGTGAACTGGTCTCAGCAGGAGCCCGTCTCCATCTGTAATATGATGTATCACGTGCAGCCCAAGCCGTCGCCATCTGTAATACGATGTATCAAGTGCAGCCCAACGGGACACCTGATATTAGCCGGCCCAAATCAACATCTGTCCCAAGAGAGGAAGTTCCCCCCACCCCAAGAAGTTTACAAAAAACTGCCTCTTCAAGTGTTTGCCTTATTCAGCTTTTCACTTGTGCCATTAAGCAAGCACTGTAGCAAAAGCCACTTCCACTGGCCCTGGCAGGGAGCCCCACGGCTCCAGGCTCCATTTTCACTGTACTTGGTCTTATATTTTTTATAAATAAGATTTTTACGTAAAGCTCAGATTTTGATTTACAGGGACCTTGCTGCAGGAAGTACCGTTTCAGTTCTGTGCCACTAGTCCAGCTGTTAGCGTAGTCAAAATTATTTGTATCAAAGGGGTGAATGCTTTATTAAGGCAATAAAAGGGAACACTACTCCTGCTTTTAGGAAGTTATTGCAAGCACAAGCATTTGAGATTGGAAGCAAATTAAAGCGTAAAAGAGAAACTTAAGGGAACTTTGCCACATTCGTGTTTTGTAAAGCTTATCAACACCACTTAAACCATCATTAGCCTAAACGCCTCAAGCCCTACTTCAGCAAAAGAAAGAAAATGTGCCTGCTTCTCACTAGTGTCACTTTTTTTTAATCTTTTATCTATCTTATTTACTGTTGTTCTTGAGGTCTTGAACTTACCTGCATCCCTTGTCTTCAGGGGGAGCTCCCGTTTCCTAGTGTGTGCTTCCCAAGGCTCCAGTGGCCAATAGGTTCCTTCCTGAATCTTGTAATTGTTACTTGAATGTCTCTACCGTACTGTCTGAGCACTTGGAAGTAACATGATACTGAGGCAGTAACAAGATCCTCAGTAACATTGACGAAACCATATTGATCGTCTTGGTTGGCAAGTCAGTCTAGAGTTGGATCATTTCACTCAACTTCCTGGCTTTTGATGTCCTTGCCCAGACATTTTGCCTCATTAGACATGAAGAATGGAGAAAGGCTGAGAGATACAAGTGCTTGTTCTTCATGGTCCCATTTGTTCTTGCTTACGCTGTTAGTTTTCTGCTCCTCGTGACTCCATTCTTTTCATTCCTCTAGGCTTGTATGTAACTCCCTTTTCCATATCATGCTAAGAATGGCCCTTAAATCCATCCCTTTCTGCTGTCAGGGGCTAGTGGTCGACGCTGCTACAGAGAGCCCACCAGACAGCAGGCTTCTTACCTTCGCCTGCCTAGGGTACCCAGCCTGCCTTTCATCTAATAGGAGATGGCACTTTTTGCAAATTTGAAATTTCTTGGGTAACCAATATCAGCTTGGCAGCTAAAATCAAGACGTTGCCAAATATTTATTCCCTTTGCCTAGCATTGATTACCCAGTCCAATTGCTTTTATTTTTAATGTCTTTTAATGTCCTATCTCAAAAGAACAATCAGTATATTTGCTTTTCTTTCTGTACAATCCCTAATCTCAACCATGTATATCTGGACTGTCCAGTTTTCTTTTTGTGCTATCTTCTCTTATATATAAATAAGCAAATTATATGCCAAGAGTCCCTTGTCTCTAGCAATTTCTGCTGAAACTTCCAAGTAGACTGTTTCCTTTTACAATTAAATTATTGTATTTATTAATTTGAATCCAGTATATCCTTTCTTTAATCTGGTTATACTGTCAATAAAAAGATGAAAGCAGCAAGTTGGTTTTTTAGCTTGACTGTTGATTGAGCATTCTCTGAAGGGCACACCTCAGTGTCAGAGCAGGCTAAACATGGTCAGTTTTTGTTCTGTATTGTCCCATAAGGTGTAACGGTTGCTGCAAAACACTTGCAGGTGTTCCTCTCTTAACCTCAGTATGCTAACGGCCATGGATACTTTCTCTGAGCATCACCCTCTGGCCAGAGTGAGCAGCAAGTGATCAAAGTTACTCTCCCTATCACCACCACCACCACCTACTAATAACGAAGATCCATGAATATTTAGTAGTAGAATATTTTTCAAACACAGAATTCCAGCTAATCTCAGAAGTGCCCCATTTTATAAATTCTTAAAGGAGATTTCCTAAGAGCAAATGAAGTAGATGCTCGTTTTCTGCATAAGGAATTTACCATCATTCAGAGAGAATTCATGTGATGGGTTCATTCCTAAAGTGGTGCTACAGAACAGCCCTTGGAAGATGCTGGTCTTCACTGTTAGAGTCCTCTGATTTGAGAAAACAACTAAAAAATATGCAGCAGGAAGGCAGCACCCCTGAACATATGGTGAGTAACAAAAATGAGACCATGAAATCTGTTTTCAGATACCGCCAAGCTAATTCTGTAGCCGTGGACATTTCTCTTTAACTCCAGCAGTCTGGAATCTTGCCTCCCTAGTCAGCAGCACTTCTACATCAGCCATAAATGTAGCCTGCAGCACTATCCCTCTGTAATGATCCCCTTTCAGATCCAGAAAATCAGGCAAAAACAGTGAAGCGTCCGTTCTCCTCCCAAGTACCTGCTCCCACTTCTCGTCAGTTTTTCCTCAAGCAAGAGGAGTATGTCCCCCAAAGCTAGCTCTGCCTTAGAGCCCGGGTGGATCTCTGACAGCCCTATTGTTCTATATTGGGCTTTGAAATAAAAAAAAAAGACCTGTGGTATTCCTGTCCCCATAACAGCTTCAGCTTCTTAGGGGTGATGGTCTCCACGACTAGCTAGCAGTTTTTAAGATGAAAACAGACTTCAACCAGAGGATGATCCACATCTTCTGGCTGTTTTCTTCCTATTGTTCACCCCGGTCACCTCCTCCTAGTGTAAAATCCCCGAAGTCGTGCTTTATTACGTAGACCCTTGTTAAGTAAATACGCTGCTGCTACTGTATAGTAGTATGTTGTTCATCCAGTACAACACTAGGATTAAATAAAAGTCTTCAGTTTCCAGATCCTGAGGATTAGTTTCATTGGCTCTTTTTCAAAACAGAGGAGAAAGCTGAACTAAACGTTTTTGCTAAAATAATATACCCATCATTTAAAGCATTATTTATACAAATGCACTTTATTGTTTTAAACAGAACAAAAGAAGAGGCAGAAAATATTTGCATATAACAAATCCTAGCTTAGAAATGTAGTTTTTTAGTGGTGATGTCGCTAATCAGTCTTCAGGGGTTTTTGTTTTTTTAATTTGCCTCACTGTGTCTTGAGCACTGATATTAGAGAAAAGCACATCGGCACAAAGTGTAAACCAGTGCCAAAGCACTGGAAGAACATGGAGAGCAAACGTGGTTTTTCTTATTTCCTCTAAGTAATCTTTCATAAAACAAAAGGTGATCTTTGGCATAGATTCATACTTTAAAGGCATTAATATTGCATTTATATCAGGTAAGCAACTATACAAATATGCTGAGGGCCTTGAAAATACTATTCATCAGTTAAAACAGAGGAAGCCTGAGTGTACAGTACCGACTGAAGACCAGTGTTACACATTCGATGTTGGGATTGAACACACATTGGAGCTGAGAAGGAAGGACCTTCAGGCAACGGTTCTTACTCCTTTACTCGTCCAGTTCTGGCTTTGGGAAGAAGTAGGATTTCGTGTGCTGGGCAATGCTTAGACAGCAGTGATAAGTGCAAAAAAGGAAAAATTCTTCTCTCTCACTTTGCTAATAGGAAACTTACGGTGCTAGTTAAATATTATACCCATTACTCGCGAGCATTCATACTTGGGAGAGAGGAGAGGATACAGGGCTTGGTTAAGGGAGGTAGGAATATACTGAGGACTATCTCCCATTGATTCATCCCCAACGGTGCCAGTATTCCAGTCTGCAAGTACCAACCTCCCTTAGGTAGGAGGTGCCCTTCAGACAGGACTGCCTTTCTATTAAACATTCCTGGGGCGGGGGGGGCAAGCACCAGTTCTTAGGACTGAATTTCAAAAGGATAAAAAAGGATCTTTCAAAATTACAATGAACAAGCACATATCTTTAAAATCTTGTTTAGGAAGGGTATGGGGGAAGAATACAAAAGCCAGGATTGGAGAAATGATTTGGTTAAAAACTAAATGCAGCATTTCAGCTCAGAAAGAACAGTAAGAGCTAAGAATGAACGATAAGGCCTCAGCACAGACCTCTGCAGGCAGTGACAAAGCATGGGGCGCCTGGGAGTGGCCCTGCCCGCAAGATGGGCAGGGCCTCGCCCGGCTACTCTGCCCCTCCGGTGGCAGAGAGCACCAGGACACACAGTGTGGGGGATGCCTACCTTCACAGGCCGAGGCGGGATATATGGTGGGAAGTTTCCCTAGCACAGAGGTTGCTCAGGGGCAAGGTAAAGACAATCGTGTGACTCTGATTTCCTCCTGAGAGTGAAATTTGGTTTTGCACTGTGGGAAATTAGGATTAAACTGGGGAAGGGCAAGAGGTGAATCCAGGCCCCACAAGCTGGGGCTCCCCAGAGGCCTTTTTCCCTTGTAGCAGCAAAGCTCACTTCTGAAAAGAACCCAGATAGCACAGCTGGGCTCAGGAGCAACACGGAAAGCCCAAAACAAATTTTGGAGGCACAGTGATTTCCTTCTTAACAACTTGTCTAGGCCCTGGATCTTGGGAGCCTGGTGGGGAGAATTGGGGATGGGGTGGGGGGTGGCAGTGAAAAGGAAGCAGAAGAGGAACTGTCCCCTAGGGAACGAGGGCAGAGCAGGGTGTCTTGGCTAGTGTTCAGTCTTGGATTCTGAGCTTACATGAAGTCCATGGGCTAGAAACCCAGTCTTCCTATTGGGATAGAGTGTGCAGGAGTATAACTGTGTTTGAGAATACAGGCTTTATACGGAG